TCAAAAATCCAGAGCCCGAGCTGCTTGTGCGCTGGTACCAGATGGGAGCCTACCAGCCATTCTTCCGGGCACATGCACACTTGGACACTGGGCGGCGAGAGCCCTGGCTCTTACCAGCTCAGTACCATGACATCATCCGAGATGCCTTGGGCCAGCGATACTCCTTGCTGCCCTTCTGGTACACTCTCTTCTATCAGGCCCACCGTGAAGGCATTCCTGTCATGAGGTGAGGCATTCAGCTGGGTCTGCGTAGCGTGGGCTGAGGTGGCTGAGGGACAGTGGGGAACTGGGCTCCATCTCTGGGCCCCTTTTGCCACTCACCAGGGCCTTGTAAAGGAGGGAAATGCTGGCTGCAAGGTCAAGAGTAAGAAGAGACTAAGTAGCAGTAGCAGTAAACATTGCTGCCAGGCATTGTTCATCACTGTCCCTAGAGCCTGAAACAAGGCAGACAAGTATCCTTCCATCCTTGGGAGTAAGACACACAGACATGTACACAAATAGGCAAATAAGAAAATTGCCGGGGCGTGTGGGTGGCTCAGTCGTTAAGCGTCTGCCTTCGGCTCAGGTCATGATCCCAGGGTCCTGGGATCGAGCCCCGCATCGGGCTCCCTGCTCCGCGGGAAGCCTGCTTCTCCCTCTCCCACTCCCCCTGCTTGTGTTCCCTCTCTCGCTGTCTCTCTGTCAAATAAATAAATAAAAGTCTTTAAAAAAAATTAAAAAAAAGAAAATTGCCAACAGTGATAAGCTCTTTGAATAGGGTAATGTAATTTAGTTCTACAAATGGCTTTTTTAAGAAGAAGGACATGTGAGCGGCACCTGGGTGGCTCATTCGGTTAAGCGTCCGACTTTTGATCTCAGCTCAGGTTTTGATCTCAGGATCATGAGTTCAAGCCCCATATTGGGCTCCATGCTGGGTGTAGGGCCTACTTAAACAAAAAAAGGGCATGTGAGATGAGGCCTGACTAAGGAGGAAGATGGACTTTTGTGATCTAGAGGAAGAAAGTTCCCAGCACAGGAGATTGCAAGTGCAGACATCCTAAAGTGGAAATGAGTTTGTTGTGTTCCAGGGATAGAAAGACCAGTGTGTCTCAGGGTAAGGACCCAGGGGGAGAGGTAGGAGATGCTGTAGGAGAGGAAAATTCGACCTGATGCAGGATAATGAAATGGCCACTGGAATGTTGCCGTGTGGAATAGTTTCAGGTGGAGGCTGGGGAGGAGGAGGCAAGGAGATGGATTAGAAAGTTCAGTGACTAGACCAAGGGTAGGTTGTGTAGCTGAGGCCTACCGCGCAGTTGGGCTGTCTCACGCAAGCTCCTGGCTTGTACCGTGTGCTGTTCTTATTTCTGGTTCCTGGGCTAGCATCTTTGACCTCTGCCAAGACAGCAGGTGTCTTCCCTTGTTTTCTTGCTTCCTTCCTAGGCCCCTGTGGGTACATTATCCTCAGGATGTGACCACCTTCAGTATAGACGATCAGTTCCTGCTCGGTGAGAAATGGAGGGGACAGTTGCTGGTGGGTTGGGATAGGGCTGAGAAGAAGTAAGCACCTGTGGGAGAGATGTCTGTGGATGCCCAGGGAGAGAGGAGTGAGTGAGGCCAGTGGCACAAGGCGGCAGGCGTTTTGGTGCTCCCTGCCTGGGAACTGGTCCCCTCAGTTCACAGCTGATTCTGGTGTGTTTTAGGGGATGCATTATTGGTTCACCCTGTATCAGACTCCGGGGCTCATGGTGTGCAGGTCTATCTGCCTGGCCAAGGGGAGGTGAGTTAAGGAAGAAAGGGTGTGGTGGGGAAAGGTGGTGAAGGCCAACGAGGGTAGATAGGATGGGGGCCATGTGCAGTGACCTACTGTGTGTTCTGCCACCCACAGGTGTGGTATGACATTCAGAGCTACCAGAAGCATTATGGTCCCCAGACCCTGTACCTGCCTGTAACCCTGAGCAGTGTGAGTATGCCTGGCCCAGCTGCCAGCTCCATCTGCCTGTCAGTTTCCAGAAGGGGAGAGTGTGTGCTTTGGGGTCCAGTACGTGAGTGGGCACAGAGGGGCAAGAGCAAAAGACACTGCCGGGCCCAAGATTGGACAGTGGGGCAACTTCATCCCCTGCTCTTGCCCTAGATCCCTGTGTTCCAGCGTGGAGGGACAATTATCCCTCGGTGGATGCGAGTGCGGCGCTCTTCTGACTGTATGAAGGATGACCCCATCACTCTTTTCGTTGCTCTCAGTCCCCAGGTGAGCGTGTGGGCAGGGAGCCCCCTCAGCCCTCTGCCTGCCTTCCTGGGATTCAGTCCCTGGGGGGAGTGCCCCCCACTCTCTCTTGGGCTCAGGCTCTCCCCTATCCCACTTCCCGCTCAGGGTACGGCCCAAGGAGAGCTCTTTCTAGATGATGGGCACACATTCAACTATCAGACTCGCCATGAGTTCCTGTTGCGTCGGTTCTCGTTCTCTGGCAACAGCCTTGTCTCCAGGTAAGGAAGTGCTCATTCGTCCTTGGTAGCCTCAGGGATGCTCACAGTGCACTGTGCTCTTTTCTTGCATATGACCTTGCTCTGGGTCTCCTCCTTCCTTCTACTCTGACATCTTTCTCCCTGACAGGCATCTGTTTTTGTTCCCTCTAGCTCAGCAGACCCCAAAGGCCACTTTGAGACACCAATCTGGATTGAGCGGGTGGTGATAATAGGGGCCGGAAAGCCAGCAGCTGTGGTCCTCCAGACAAAAGGTGAGGGGTGAGACTGGCCCCCAGGCGGGGGAAAGAGGGGAAGTAGGGGCAGGGCTGGGACACCTTGCCTGTAGGAAAGCAGTTGCTATGCCGTAGCCTGTTGCCGTGACCATGGAACGCTTTCTTTTTCTCCACCAGGATCTCCTGAAAGCCGCCTGTCCTTCCAACATGACCCTGAGACCTCTGTGTTGATCCTGCGCAAGCCTGGCGTCAACGTGGCATCCGACTGGAGCATTCACCTGCGATAACACAAGGGATGTTGGGGGGTGGGAGGGGGTGCAGTGGTGACGAGAGTTCCTCTTCCTTCTGCCTTGGGGTTTGACCCTCCCCAGACTTCACCTTTCTTATCTGAAGACTCAAATTCTGCCAACATCTGGGCAGGATGAGAAGCTGTCCCTGCACTCTGAATTCCTCCTGTGACCTCCTGACCTCTGCCACCCCGCTGACACCAAGTCTCCCATCGTCCCTCAACACTCTGTTGCTCTAACTGGAGCACATTCACCTGTGAAGACCTGGGGACCATGAGGCCCTTGCTTTCCCTTCTTTTTCCTTTCTTTTGGGGGCCCCGAATCTCCTCTAGACCTTCTTCATTCATACCTCTTGTGTATTGATGCCATTTCTTGGAAGAAGAGGGCAGTGAGCTTTAGGGCTTCTTTTCTCCTTCCCCTTCCCTCCCCACCAAACTGCTCTCCCTCCTTTTATTTCTTTCTCCCGATTCTTCTCTGTCAGCCCTCCCCTTTTTATGCCCCACTGATACACTGGGACCACCCCTTACCTGATAAGGGATGAATGGATCAAAGGAGTGAGGTTGCTGGAGAACATCCTCTTCCCTGTTGCCTCAACCTTTCCTCTCCCCGATTGCTTCTAGAGCTGCTGCAGTTCTGACAGGGGCAGTTCTATCTACCCTGTCCTTTGGGGGAAAGAAGTTTCCACTCTTCCTTAAGAGGGGATGGGCATTAAACTTCTTTTGCCCCCTTTTTGTCCCCTCAGGGGGCATTCAAGATGGAGAAATCAGTTGTGGTTTCATCAAATCATGGTCACCTGTATTTATTGCTGGGAGAAGGCTGAGGGTGGGGGGAGATGATCATGTGTGCCCAGGGTTAGCTTGAAGCCCTGGGTGGGGGGTGGGGGAGGACTAACTGGGGACAAGGGGGAATATTTGTGGCAATTTTTTTTACTTCTTCTTGGCCCCCAGCTGCGACAGGTTTTGATAAAAGGAGAAACAATAAAGGAGAAACCAATAAATAACTGTTGGTGTCCGGATTCTGATTCTGGCCTGAACCACAGACCCTTAGAAGCCTAAGGGCCTGACATTTTCATCTAACTTCAGCATGAGCCTCATCAGTTCAGCAAAATGAATGAGTGCAAGTCTTCCTCAACTTGCTAGATGCCAATATTTTCATCGAGGAGTCCAGCAAGGTCATCAGATTTTAGCAGGCCTAGTTAATAGTGGTGACCAGAGCTGATGGGGTCTCTCTTGAATAGAAACAGCTTTATAGTCATGTTCACATGCACAAGGCTGCTTCTCCTTAGCATCACTTTTTAAAACTCCCCGTTGTTTTGGTGACAGGAAATAGATTTCTCCATTTTGGAGACTACCAGTTTTAGAGATGATTTTACCAGAAACAAGAGGGTTGTGTTTTTTTTTAGGGAAAATGCTCAGGAAGGCTTGTGCCTGTGAGTAGTTAGGGGATGTCTTCGTGCAATTTTCAGCTCAAATATTGACGATCTCCTGGGAGGTAGCCCACTGCCTTGGCGCCCCACTCCCTACCCTCCCCCCATACACCGCGACCCTTATTGTCATCCGTTTGAGAAACGTGGGTCAGAGGAAACGGTACAGATTTTGGAGACAGGTAGCTAGAAGGGACATAGAAAACTACATAGTGGCAATTTCATAGTTTTTGTCAACCTTGGCTACTTGTCCGTGAAATGGGGACAATACCACCCGTCTCAGGATTAGAGTGAGAAATGCAATGCGTGAGAGCACAGGCCTGGCACGGGAGAAGTCCAAGATTTCATTCATTCGTGTAACAAGCGTTTGTAGAACTCTTACTGGGTGCTGTGGTTGAAGAATGAATGAAAATGACGAAATCTGCGCACAGGGACTGGAGTTCAAGGGGAAGGTCTCAAAGTCGCTCCCACCAGGCTTCTCACTGCCCGCCACGCGAGCTCGCCACGCCGGATGTGACGTCACCCACTCCCGTGGTTCCCAGAACTAGGCGGAGGGACCGGAAATTAACCCGTGGGGCGGGGTACAGACTGACCGGAAGTGGGCCCTGGCGGGCGCCGCGGTTCCCACCTCGCGCGAGCCGGTGGAGCGGAGCGTGAGGAAGGCGGGACACGGGGCGGGACCGCTGCAGGGGCGGGGTCTGCAGGCGGGCGGGCGGGGGGCGGGGACCCCCTAGTCCCCCCCGGACCCCGCCTGCCCGGGCGGCGGCACGGCCATGAAGCTGAAGCTGAAGAACGTGTTTCTCGCCTACTTCCTGGTGTCGATCGCCGGCCTCCTCTACGCGCTGGTGCAGCTCGGTGAGCGGGGCGGGGCGGGGGTGCGGCGGGCCCGCCCGAGGGCGCCCGCCGCCGTGCATCCCGCCCTGGGGATGAACCCCCGCGCAGACACCATTCAGCCGGCTCGGCCCTCCCACAGCCCTCTGCGGCCGCCGGCGCTCTCCCCTCTCTAGGATGCACCGCCGCTTCCCGCCGCACCTCGGATGAAATGCAGACTCTTTCCCAGAGTCCGCAAGGCCCCGCATGATCCTGTGGCCGTCAGCCTTTCCAACCCCATTCCCTTTCCCACTCGCTCGCTCTGCTCCGGCCGCACTGGCTGCGTGACAGGTTCTCGAAAGCCCACGCTCATTGCTCTCTCAAGCTCTTAACCTGTTCCTTCTGGCTGCGGTGTTTTTTTCCCTGCTCTTCCTGGCCGCCGCTTTCTCATGCTTCAGGTCTCAGCTCAAATGTCACCGCCTCGGAGAGGCCTTCCCCGACCACCTTAGCTAGCGTTAACTCCTCTTTTTCTGGATTCTCTTTTATTCTCTTACGTGTTTCCTTCGTGGCCCTTATCACAATTCGTAATGATTTTACTAATTTGTTTCTTTGCTCAGTGTCTGCCTCTGCCACTAAACTGAAAGCTCCATGAAGGCAGGGACCGTGTCTGCTTTGCTCCCTGCCGCATCCCCAGCACCTAAGGCTGTGCCTCCCACGAGGAGCATTCAATAAATATTTATCCAATAACGGAATCATTGAATTTTATGAGTCTTTGGTCACACAGCCAAGGGAACAGATGGAACGTTGCCTCTTACACAGAGAGACAGGGCTTAGGGCTTGATCCTCAGGTATTTAAAAGACAGCCCTGTTTCAGGAGATCTAGTTGTTCTTTATGGCTCCAGAAGGCAACATTAGGATCAGCAGGTAGAAGGGATGGAGGCAGATGATTAGCTCAATATCCGAGTGAAAGCTGTAACAGATGGAATTGATTGCAGTTGGAGGGGGCTGCTGATTGAGGCCATGAGCTCCCCCCGACCCCCAATCAAGGGTGTGGAAGGAAGGCTGTGGCTGCCGAGGAAGTTGTCAGGAGATTCCTGCACTGGCTAGTTGTTGAACAAGAAGGTTATGCCCCTTTGGGATGCTCAACATGCTGTGGTTCTCTGCCCCCATCCCTGCTTCCTGGGACCAGGTCAGCCATGTGACTGCCTCCCTCCCCTGCGCGCAGCCGCAGAGCAGCTTCGGCAGAAGGATCTGAGGATTTCCCAGCTGCAAGCCGATCTCCGCCGTCCACCCCCTGCCCCTGCCCAGCCCCCTGAACCTGAGGCCCTGCCTACTATCTATGTTGTTACCCCCACCTACGCCAGGTATGGGCTCTGGTGTACCCCAGAGGCCTGCATGGGCCAGGAGGTTGGGGTTGATGATGAGTTTGGGGAGGCACTGGGCCAGGTGATGTGCCTCAAACTAGGGCACGCCAAATGACGAGATAAATGAACCACACCTCTCTCTCCTCAAAGATTTGTGGGAAAAGGGTTTTTTTTTTCCTAGTAAAATAGACGGGTATACTCTGAAATAGAATACACAGTTCCTAACACATTTTAAGATAGAACAATAAAGTTTCAAGGAAATGTTGAGCTTGCCCATGAGTTCACTCTCTCTCTCTCAGGGATCCTTTGGTGAGAAAGTTTGAGGATCCCTGACTAAATTGAAATAGGAAAGGGCTTGGCCTTACAGTCATACTAGGGTCTAGAAATAGTTACACCAGCTATGATTTACAGTGTGTTTACTCTCTACCAGGCACTGTGCTAAGTCAGGGCTTTCCTTTTTTTTTTTTTTTTTTGTAGTTTTTTTTGGGTACAAACCAACTGGGGAACATGGTTTTGGATCTATAGCTAAAGAGCCTTCCAACACCTCCCTGGAATCAGGTGGCTGACCCATGTAGGCACAGGCAGCTCTAGACCCTGTCCCCTTCCACACACACAGCACCACCCCTGGGGCAGACAGACCAAACTGCAGGAGAAAGAAGCCTAGAAGAGACTGGGCCACACCTTCCCAGTTTCTTGTCTAAACTCAGGCAAATCCTCCCCTGGAGAGGAATGAGGCAAAGGGCTCCTCTAAATCTCTCTACCTGGAAACCCAGGAAGAGGACCTGGCCCTCCTGGTATTTTAGAAAGTCATTATAATTTAATCTTTAAAGCTTTTTATTTTTTTATTT